TATATTATGATATGATCATTAATGCATGTGTATACACACACACAAATGTGTGTGTATGATTTTTTTGAGAAAAATGGCCATAGCTTCATAGAATCATACACACACATGCATGTATGCGTGTGTATATGATTTTTTTGAGGAAAATGACTATAGCTTCATAGAATCATAGTCATACGTGTATACAGTTATATGTAGTTAAGTACACAAGTGTGTGTATATATATATATATATATATATATATATATATATATATATACTCTTAGCATGGTATTGATACTAAGATATAAGAATATAAATATATAATGTAGTAATAAGTATACTTATATGTGTATATTATAGAATTAAAGTTATATAAGTATATATAAGTACATAAGTATAATTATATATAAGTATATTGCATCTAGTATATATAAAAGTATATCATATTAGTAGAGTTGATCTTATGTCTACTTAAGTGGACACCAAACCTTTGTCCACTAAAGTTTATATCCACTCAATTATATATATAAAAAGACTCTTCATATCATGCAAGGATACCCAGGCAACATGAGTGGATAAAAACTTTGGTGGATCATCCACTTAAGTTAACATAAGAATTGCTCCATATGAGTAAATTGTATAACTATACTTAAATAAGTATAATGTAAGTATGTAACAAATACAATATAACTATATAATGCATATTTATAAATAAGTAATATATACTTATGTGATTCTCTCTCTCAAGTTATAACTTAAAAGGATATACAATATATTTATATATAATATATGTATATATAATATATAGCTATATAATAATTTGTAAGTATATACTAATACATATTTATATAAATATAATAAGATTAATCTAATTTTTAGTATTTTTTTATAAAAAAGAAAAAAAACAACTGGGTCGGCTCGGTGCCCAACCCGATCGCGCTCGGGTCCGGAGCCATAACCTACCCGGGTCTGGGTCACGGTTTTTCCCCGGCCCGGACCCGGTTTTCCGGGCCGGGCCGGCCCGATTAGACATCTAAGGGTAAGAAAAAAGAGCCCTAACCTAAGAGCCAACAATCCTCTAAATCGTATATAATCCCCTCATATTTATAGGGGGGCGTGTAAGGAGGGGTGTAAGGGGTGGTAACTACAGGTATTGGGTTAGGGATTAATCAACCATGGATGTGTTTTAACTAAAAAACTAACAGAGGGACGAACTTGCAAGGCCTTATGTGATTTGAGGGACTACTATGCAATTGCGGCAGATTTAAGGGACTAATACCTAAAAAACCCAAAAAAAGATTTATTGCATAAATGACACAGATGTACGAATGGGTTAATTGCACTTTAATATATTCAAGTTTGATTAGTTTTAACCTTTGTTGCTCGTTAACATTTTCCCAAATAACACACTAAACTTTTGCGCTTTTAACTTTAATATTTCCCGTTACATCACCATCAACTAGAATAGAAACAAAAGGGGTCCTTGTTTTTGCGTTATAGTGCCATGGAAAGTTTGGTGGTTTTAGAGGGGCGTTTGGATGATAGAAGTATTGAAAATAAGTAGAGCATCAAAGAAGTAAAAACTATGATGTAGGAAAAGAGAGAATTTTTTTGAGATTATATTTAAAGTGAAAAATATTCACGTAATAAAAAAACTACTTTCAGTCTTAAGCTTATGCATAATTCAGCGACTTCTGATGCACATCAAACTTTGAGGGAGAAAAAAAATTTAAATAAGTAGTAATCCATATAGTCTCATAAGTGACATGCCATCATTTCAGTGAGTAGGGAAAATAGCTTTTCTAGAGAAAAAAAATGATCTTTTACCCTCAAAAGTAGCAGAAACGACCTCTACTTTCTTTACTTTTGCTACTTCATATATCATACTTCCTTTCAAAGTACAAGTTTAGTAAAACATTTCCATGATCAATATTACTCTTCATTATTTTGAATATTTCATTTAAATCTTAATTTATCATAGTCCTAATTATATCTTATACTAAACCCACGTGAACTACCTATAGCTGAACAATTTAAAAAATTAAGATTAAGAAATTACACGTAACTAACATATTACTATAGATGAAGTATTAAAAAAAAGTTTCAAAATTGACACAAAATACACTAAAAAGTTCAAAATTAATCAAAACACCATGACTTTTCAAAACTTAAAACAACAAACATAAATTTTAGAAATTAACAACAGCATCTAAAGAATTTAAATTTTTAATTAACACCATCAATATTTCAAAAACTGTAGAAACAACATCAAAAGTTTAAATTACGAAAAAGCACCTAAAATTCTAAAATTTCAAAGCTTGCAAACGGCATAGATAAATTCAAGGGATTACCATCAAGCACTTGAAAATATAAAATATGTAAAAAGATAAACTTAAAGGTAAAAAAATTATAAAAACTCCTTCAAAAGCTAAAAATCAAGAAAAAAAATCCTAAATTTTCAAAACTTATAAAAAATATACATCAAATATGGACATTATCAGTAGACCACTAAATATTTAAATTCTGTAAAAAACAACCCATAGTTCAATAATTACAAAAAATACCCTCAAAGAATTTAAAGTTGCAAGAAATATCCTAACATTTTAAAACCTACTACTAGCACATGAAACATAGAAATTACAAAACATCCAACTTAAAAGTATAATTATCAAAAAATACTATCAAATTTTCAAAAATTGCAAAACAAACCCACGAAAGTTCTAAATCATAAAAAAGGATGAAATTTCTAAACTTGGAAAGATAAGAGTAATTGTTTGATATTCTTTCATTAAGATATATAAATTTAATTCAAATTTAAAGTTCACTATCCGTTTT